GAGGAGCCGAAGGGGGAGGAGGAGGAGGAGGAGGAGGAGGAGGAGGAGGAGAAGGAACCTGCGACCTGCCCAGGTTGGTGTCCCAGAGGAGGCACTCCCGGGGCCAGAGAGCCTTGGCATGAACAGCTATACGAAGACGATCGGCGGTGCCAAAATCGAGGTGGTGCTGAAGCACCGCCACTACAGGATCAAGTCAGTGCCTGCAGATGGCAACAAGGACAACGTGGGCCGCTCCAGGGCATTCATGAAAGACGTGAGTGCAGCCTGGGAGGACATCTTGAAGCTAGCCGGCGTGAGCCGCGATGCTGACTAGGTGCCTCGATCAAAGGGGAGGAATTCCTCCTCCTCCTCCTCCTCCTCCTCCTCCGCCTTCTCCTCCTTCTCCATCCTCACACTCCTCCTCGCCGTCCTCCTCCTCCTCCTCCTCCTCCTCCTGCTCATCGTCTTCTTACTCCCCTACTTCCGCTCCTCCTCCCCCACTAGCTCCTCGCCCCTCCTCCTCCTTCTCCCCGTCCTCCTGCTGGGTGTGGCGGAAGAGAGGAGAAAGAGGAGGAGGACGAGGAGGAGGAGGGGCAGGAGGAGAAGGGGCAGCAACAGCAGCAGGAAGAGGAGGAGGAGGAGCAGGAGGAGGAGGAGGAGGAGGAGGAGCACCAGCAGCAGCAGCAACAGCAGCAGGAGACACATCGCACTCGCTGTAGGCTCCTACGGTGCTGGCAGCAGCACTCGACGCGAGGCACACATCCTCATGCATGAGGGAGGTCTCAGGCATATGGCCTGCGATCGACACTTTTCCCTGCCCTGCCGCCTTATCCTGCTACTCCTGTTCCTTCTCTCCATCTCCTCATCTTCATCCTCCTCTTCCTCCAAATTGTCCTCCTCCCACCTCCTTCTCATCCGCATCATCCTTCCACCTCCTCTCCCCCATGCGCCTCATTCTACATGCCCCTCCTCCTCCTACTCCTACTCCTCCTTCGCATCCTCAACCTCATCCGTCTCCTCGTCTTCCTCTGATCTTTTCAAGGGTGCGAACAGCTCCTAGCATGTTCGCGACGTGCACATGGGCAAGATCAGACATGGGGGTTCTGTCGCAGCTGCGCAAGAAATTATATCCATTGACTTGTCTAGCTCCATCTCTCTCCTTCTCTCTCTCTCTCTCGCTTTCTCCCGCTTCGGGCCCCCCCCCCCGCTGATTCTCCCAGTATTTCCTCAATTCCTCTTTCTCTCATGCCTCTTGCTTTTGAGCCTATCTCTCTCTTTCTCTCTCTCTTTCTCTCTTTCGAATTCTCCCTAGCTCCCTTCCCTGTATCCCCCCCTCGCTCCCCCTCCCTCACTCCCCCTCTCCCTCCCTCACTTCACCTCACTCCCCCTCACTTTCCCCCCGCTCTCCGGTACCTTCCCTCACTCCCCCTCCCTCACTCGCTTCTGATATCCCTCTCTACCCCATCCCTTCATCCTCTTCTAGAGCCAGTGTGCACCCCGTCATTGAGCCCGCTGCTGCCAGGCGATTGCTCGACTGGAACTTGGAGTTCGCTGGCGCGCCCACGCCATGCCCCGCAGCTCGCGTGCTAATGATAGAAGGGGGAGAGGTGGAAGGTGACGAATTAGAGTATGGTATGAGAAGCGTGACGAGGGAGCAGCAGGGTAGGAGATGAGGATGATGAGGAGAAGCAGATCGGACATGCTGAAAGTTTCGACAATGAATTGGGAAAAAGGCATGTAGCGTGATGAGAAGGAGGTGAGGTGGAAGTAGAAGGAGGAGAACGAGGAGGACGGTCAGGAGAAGAGGCAGGATAACCAGTAGGACGACGAGGATAAGCAGGAGAAGCATGAGGAAGAGGCGGATAATATCTGCGCATTGCTGAAATCCGCTGGCCACCTAGGCGCGACGATAATCGCACTTAGCGCGTCGCGGCCTCCGAGGGACCTTTCTGGAAGCACGAAGGCGCGACGCGCGAAGTTAGGTGGCCTAAGGAGCGTATGAATTGGTGGCCCGATCGACTACCGCTGCAGAACCCATCCTTGGCTCAAGGACACGTTGCTAGCCCGACGGCACGCCCCGGCAGGATCGGCACTATGGCCAAGCAACCCAAGCTCAAGAAGCCCCGCAAGGTCACGAGCAAGCCCGCAAGGAGGTTCATGCCAAAGATGAACGAGGCCACTACTAACACGATCAAACAGCTGGTGCGCATGAAAGCCCCAGCTGTGCTTGTCTTGGCTGCTGCGCTGATTGGCTGCCCTGGCAAATTGGAGGTCAGTACAACAGAAGATAGAACGATCCTTGATCCACGGATTATTCTCCCTGCTCCCCTCTCCTCTTATCCCCTGCCTCCTGTCCCCTCACCTTACCTCTTTCCCTCTGTCCTGTTCCATCCCTACATCCTGGAATCCCGGGCCCCCCTTGTATGACAGTGGACCTCATTCGTGCGGGGGGGGGCGATTTTCGCCTGGGCCCGTCTTGGACGCCTCGGCGAGGTGGAGTTCTTCGAACAAATGGCTGGCCACAAGGCGATCACCCGTTCATTCGCTGCTGCTGGATACAACGCGGTCCCTTTCGAGATCGAGGAACCCTTTCTAAAACACCATTGCGGGTGGAGTTTCAGGGATGTTTCTTAGATCCCCCATGGCCCCTTTGTAATTTGGATAACCCCATTCGAAGATGCCTTCGGGATTGATTTCTCGAGGGGTCTGGCAGCCAGGACGACAACGTCTATTGCGACTTCGTGGGGAGCGACGGGTTCGCGTGTGCCCTCCGCATCGCCATGTCAATGAAATTTGGCACTGGCAGCTTCGGGGCACCCGTGTGCTCCAGTTGGGTCCAATGGGGGGAACGCAGTCGAATCATCAAGCCTACCATCCCAGAAATGGCTTGCTCTGATGATGATCATCATCAGAGCAAGCCATCTCTGATTATTACCAGCCAGGGTCAAGGGTAGCCCAAATGGGGGTCCATTGCAAGTGGCGCGTCTCTGCCCCAAATAAGGCATCCCATTCGGCTACCCCTGGGCGCTGTGGCGAAACCTGCAAACCCCCAGGTCTGGGTCAACCGCTTCAGCTCAGGGAGGAGTGAAATCTAGAAGGCTCGTTGCATCTTCCGCCGGCCCACTACCTGGCACCACGCATTGGAAATCACATGTCAATGGGGAAAAGACAGGAGGGGCACAATGACACCTGAAATTCACTTGAAACTTAAAAAGGATTCATGCCGCCCGTGCATAAGGGGGCTTCTGGACACGACCGCTGGGCTACAAGCACCTGCCGAGCGTCAAGCTGGGGAACACCATGGTGAGTAACATGGTACTTCTTTTGATTCTCTTGACAGCAAGGGGTATCGCATGGGTCATCGAACAACCCATGGGTTCCCTCCTCGAGAAGCATCCAAGGTGGCCTAGCATCCCATGGGTCTAACAAGCCTATCCAGTAGGGGAGGGCGACGAGAAGGAGGAGGAGGAGGAAGAGGAGGAGGAGGAGGAGGAGGAGATGTTGAGTAACTGCGTTCGGCCGCGAAAGGTGGGTATACCTGTGCCGGCTCATGAAAGTGTGGAGGACCCACATCTGGATGGCCGATTTCGGGGGGGAGACTGCCAAGCCGACCTGGCTGTACAGCAATGCGGAGTGGATCGGCGAGATTAAGGAATTCAGGTCCAGGAATACTTCTGGCTGGAGCCCTTCTACGAAATCCTTGGTCACCACCACGACAGATTCTTATGGGAACAAGGTGGGGTCGAATTTTCCAAGAGGACCCCACCCCCCTTCGGTCTGGTCTGTGGCAGGAGCAAGGGGAGGAAATAGACGAGGGTGAGGCAGAGGCGAGGATGAGGGAAGCTTGAGGAAGTGGAGGAGGGCAACAGGGAGGATAAGGCAAAGGACGGCAGAGGAGAGAGAGAGAGAGGAGGACGTCCTCCTCCGATTATCCTGCTCTTCCTCCTCCTCCTCCTCCCCCACCGCCTCCTCATCCTCTTCGTCCTCATCCGTGTTTTCTCATCCTCCTCTGTCTGGCCCCCCTTCTCCCCTCGCCCTTCTCGACCCTCCTCCTTCTCCTCCCCCTCACCCATCCCCTCGACCTTTTGATGTTTACCTTGCCTTGCCTGCAGGTTATTAGCGGGAAGAAGGGCGCGATGAAAAACAGCCAGCACTACCCAGACAAGTTTGGACATGCTGTTCGGGGACTGTTCGAGCGCCACTGGTCATCTATGAAAAAACAGGCGTTCCAGATGAACAAAGACCTCAGTTCTGGTGAAGATAGCATTGACGTTGCAAAATACATCAAGGAGATTAAGGATCATTGGAACGATTCAACCCTGCCAAAGGTCATTGCTGCTCTGACTGGCGGATCGGCGTGAGCCTTTTATTTTAGAAACAGCTGCATCCGCCGTGCATGGGGCATTAGAGGAAAGGGGGTAAAGAAGGGTAACAAGTATCTTATAAATAGTTGGGGGGTGGATGGATGGCATAGACTTGGCGTCTTAGCAGCGAGTTCAATGACGCCTACGGCGGGTGGGCAAGCTACCTGCCTAGGCTTTTCAGCACGCACTTTCATTTGATTCTCTTGATCCTCCACACTTGCTCCCCCTCCACCTCCATCTCCAAGTCTATCTGGCCCCCCTCCTCTGTTCCTTTTACTCCATCTGTCCGACGGCCCCTCCCCTCTACCACTCTCTCCTCGTTCTTTCCTCCTTCCTACATCGTCCTGCTCTCCCTCATTCCCCTCCTCCTCCAACTCCTTTTTCTCATCATCTTTTATGCAATGCATCTCCGATGTGGCGACCTTGCTGGGTCTCGTGGCAGTTCGGGCTTGCGAATGAGCAGCATGCTTCCAATTGGCAGCTATTGAGAAAGACGAGCGCCGAGAAACAGAATCGATAGCAAATGTCATACAGGTGTGTCATGCATGTCTTTCCCAACGCATTTCTATGTGAATCATCATTTCCACGTCATTGAATCCATCCTGGTGCCCCTGCTTGCATGCCCATGCCCATTGATGCCGTTCCACATCTGATGCTACATCCTTGTGTTTTGTTCCTCCCCTTCGCGCCGGCGCAGGTGACATGGTGAGGCTCAGCGACCGCTACATCCTGAAACGTGCGCCCTGGGAGCATGCAGGGAGGGGCCGCCCTCTTATGTTTTCCCTTTTTCTCGCAACTCTGCGCCCGATGCTCTCCTGAACTGTTCATCCCACCCTGGGCCCTCCCCTGGGCGTTTCTGGGTTTGCATTTCGTTTTTTTTTGTTCTGGTTTTTTTTTTCTGTGTTTTTCCCGTTTGGCGCCAAAATAAGGCCGGAATTGTCTGGGAATAAGGCCGGAAATTTTGGGAAAAGTCCGGAAATTCAGATGACCCCCCACCTGCTCTCTGTAGGTCCTCCCTCCTTCCTCTTCCTCCAACTCGTGGAGCGAATCGCTCTCTCCTTTCAAGCCCTCCTCTCCCGCTGTCCATCCCTCTCCCTTTCCACGCACCTCTTTCTCTCATTTGCTCCTGTAGTGCTCAGGTCGGCACGCGTCTGCAGCATTTCACGCGATCCAAACTCGACAGGGTAGCTCAGCAAGCAGAAACGCATGGTATTCTCACGGACTGTAGACCCTGCCCCCTCCCCTTACCCCATGGCTCCTTTCTACAGCAGCCTACTGACCCCCGACACCTGACCCCCGACCGCCTACTTGACCCCAACCCCCGAACCCCCGATCCAGGGCACTCACATGCCTGTCTGCTTGCTGCGTGGCAGTGAGAAGCCATGCCGCTGAAACGCAAGCCGGTCATCGCTCTTTCTCCTCCTCCGCCTCCTCCAACTCGTAATCCTCCTCCGCACCTCGTCCCTTCTCTTGCTCCTCCTCCTGATCCTCCTCCTCCTGCTCCTCCCTTTACTACGCCTCCTCTCAACCTCACGGCCCCTCTGCCACCGTGCCCTCATTCCCCACGCTGATCCCCAATTCGCTCCCTCCACCTCCAACTCCACGGCCAATTCCACCCTCGCCCCCCCCACTCCTCCTCCCACTCCTCCTCCCCCTCCACCTCCGACTCCTCCTCCTCCTCAGCCTCCTCTTTTTTGGATGGGGCGTCGGCCCACCCAAGGCTGCTGCTGGGGCCATGTCGCCGGCTGCCGCGCCAGCGCCCCCGAAGCCTGCTGTCGTAGCGAAGGCGAAGGCGACAGCAGCAGGCCCACGTGTTAGAGGAGGAACGACGAGGGAGGACGAGGAAGAGGATGGAGGAATGATTCAGGACCATCCCTGGGTCAGGATTCAGGATCATCCCTGGGTCAGGATTCTGGATCATCCTGGGGGCAGGTTGTTTGCCGTTGCGCGCCCCATCCCAGCCACAGGCAAAGGGACGTACTCCAAGGAAGAGCTGATGGCGATCATGAGCAAGGCCGCTGCTCAGCATGGATTCGATCTTGAGGACTTGTTCCCGACTGCGTCGACGTCGGCTGGTTCTGGGACGCCGTCCGAGATTGCTGCTTCCGATGCGAAGCCTGGCTCGTGCGTCCCTGCGACGGGTGGGGACCTCAAAGGTGAAGATACGGAAAGCGAGGAGGAAGAGGAAGAGGAAGAGGAAGAGGAAGACCTGTCAGAGGAGGAACCAGAAGCTGCCGCCAAATTGAAGCTGGGGTCCGCCAAAATGAAGATGCCGCCTGTGGGCGAGCATGAAGCAACTGCAGGCGAGGAACAGAAGACTCTCGTCGCGGCAGCCAAAGCCCTGGAAGAGGTTGGCGATGGCAACGATGAAGAAGATGAGGACGGAGAAGAGGAATCAGATGGGCAGCCAGACGAGGAGGAAGACGGCGATGACGACGAGCAAGAGGAGCTACCGAAAAAGAAGAAAGGTAAGGGGCCTGCTGGGCCTACGAAGGCTGCGACAGCAATGGTACAGAAGGCCGAGAAGGCCAAAGAGAACGCCACGCCCAAAGCCGATCCAAAGGCCAAGCCCAACAGCGCGACGCACCTCAAAGAGTGGAAGCGCTTCACTACCTGGTACAACAACAGCAAGAAGTACCCAGGCCATCTAAAGAGCGAGGATAAGCAAGAGGTCTTCGTCAAGTTCTTGGAGTGCGGCGAGGACCGCAACGCGACGGCGCTCCACTTCGAGCGGAAGCAGACCAACATCAAACGGTCAAAGGAGGGCATCGGCAGCAAGAAGCTGAAGGACATCAAGAAGGAGTATTCCAAAGAGAAGGTGGAAACGATCGTGGCCTGGAACAAAAAGCACAACTCCTGGAAATACGACATGATGTTCCCGAACGACGAGGATGAGGCCTGGTACTCCCTGGACGCAGGGTTCCAATTCGAGAACATTGGCGAGCACTCCGAGACCATCATGCTGTCGAGCTCCATGGAAGTCTCGGCCGACGACGCCATCCAGTTGCTGCTGAACGGCCCGCTCGCTACCGACACTGGGCCACCAGACCTCCTCCTACCTCTCGTCTCTCTCCTCTCATTCCTCCTCCTCCTCCTCATCATCTTGATCTTCCCCATTCCTTCTCCCCCATGACTCCTCCTTCTCCTAATCCTCGGCCTGCCCCCACCCTCGTGCCCTGCTGCCCTCATGCCCTTCTCCTCCTTATTATCCTTCTTATCCTTCTTATCCTTCTTATCCTCCTCCTCCTCCTCCTCCTCCTCCTCCTCCTCCTCCTCCTCCTCCTCCTCCCCCCTCTCCTTCCTCTGCTCCGCCTCCCCGCTCCTCCTTCCCCTGGTCCTCCTCCTCCCCCTCCTCCTCCTTTTCCGTCTCCGCCTCCTCCTCCTCCTCCTCCTCCTCCCCCCCTCCATCTCCCAGGCTGGCCATGGGCGCCTCAGAGAGCCTCTTGGACGGCATAGGTGACGCTGGCAAGCCAGAGCCGACTCCCAAGGACAAGAAAGACAAGAAGACAGTCAAGGATGCGAAAGAGCTGGTCCCCCTGTCAGCGATCGAGGAGGCCAAATCCGAGATGCAGAAGATAGCTGATCAATCTACTGCTTGCGAGCGCTACATCATGCAACTCGGTGAGGCCCACATTTACTCCTGTCGTCCAATTTATCCCTCTCCCTTCGATGCTGCCTCTTCCTCCTTGTGCCCCCTCGTTTCCCTCTGTCTTCCTCCCGCTGCTTCCCCCACCTCCATGCCAAAACCTCATGTCAATAGTACTCTGATCTGATCCTCATCCTCTTCCAAAGCTCATGCTTCTCTTCCTCCTCCTCCTCCTCCTCCTCCTCGTCATCCTGCCCAAGTGCCACCTGCTCCTCCTTCTCCTAACATATTCCTTCTCCATCTTCACCGTTGGCGTGCCCAGGCAGGTAGGGAATAGGGGAGGTCTTTGCTGAATGGGGGGGCGGTGGTGAGACCCCGATGGTTTATAGAAGCCCCAAGCAGCTTCTTAGAAAGGCCCCCCCTTCGGCGAATGCCTCTCCTTTTCCCCACCTCCCTCGGCATGACGCCGACGCCCTCTCCTCCCTTCTTGAGAAGCCCCCCTCCCAGGCGGAGTTGGAGATTCCAGTTAAGGATGCCCTGATCAATCACAAGAAGAGCCTGACTGAGCTATGGCACAAGTTCAAGCAACTGTGCATGGACAAAAAGGAGGAGAGACCAGAGACCTATAGGAAGCTGCACACTGAGGCAGAGATACTCTATAAGTACTTCGAGGAGACAGGGGAGCCGGTGGCCAAGAGCTTGGTTGCAAAGCTGAAGCCGGCGAAGAAGAAGAAAAAGAAGGATGAGGACTCTGCTGCTGAGGACGAGGGGCAGGACGAGCCGCAGAAAAAGAAGCGCAAGAAGAAGGCTGCCAACTGAGGGACGTGTGAGACAGGGGCTGCGCCATCTTCATCAGGCATTGCAGGAGCGGCCCCAGGATTTCTCGATCACAGTCTCTCCCAAGATTTCTCGATTTCAGGATTTCTCGATTTACGGCCCCAGGATTTCTCGATTTCACTCTGAGTGAATGAGCCCTTCTGCGATGCATAGCTCGGACCTGTTTCTGTACATTGTTTTTTGGAGGCTGCGCATTCGCTGTGGAGCCCCTGCGAAGATTGCAACGTCGACCTCGCGCGACGAGTTGTGGGGTGTGGCAGTGGAAATATGGAGGAGGATGTCCTTCTGTAGTATTCGCAGGGGGCTGATAGGCCTCGAATGTGTTGGAGGGGGCGCGAGGGAGAGGAGGAAGACGACTACGATGCACAAGGAGCAGGAGGAGGAGGAGGTACACTTGGGGGAGGAGGAGGAGGAGGAGGAGGAGGAGGAGGAGGAGGAGGAGGAGGAGGAGGAGGAAGAGGAGGAGGGCAAGGAAGAGGAGGAGCAGCAGCAGCAGCATCAGGAGGAGGAGGAGGAGGAGGAAGAGCAGGACAAGGGGAGAACAGGAGGGGAAAGAAGATCTGGGGTGAAGAAG